AGACCCCATAGATCATGGAGCCCAGCCCCTGTGAAGGAGGCATAGTGGGGAATCGAACTCCCAACCTTCACCTCCTCAGCCAGAGACCTAAACCACTGAGCTATTCAGCAGTTCTTATATCACATTCCATTTCACGTTTCCGTCTGCCACTAGGGCTTGTCTTCTAACGAGTCTTAACCTAACACCTTGTATCACATTCCATTTCACGTTTCCCTCTGCCACTAGGGCTTGTCTTCTAACGAGTTTGCTCTGAGACTTCAGCTAAGAGCACTTTATTCCCTTTCCACATATAGCTACTGTATTAAGACTGTAGCTGAATTTGTGCCTAACATCAGAGCCCACTTGCCAACTGTTCTTTGGCTTCTAGCCTGCCATCGGCTTTATGTTGGGAGTGGAATTTCACAACTTCACAAGCACAGCCTAAATTTAGAAATTCTGAACACAGATTTGGGAAAAAGCAGATGTTTAACAACAAAAACCGTTCCAGGACTTGTGAAGAAACAGGCTGGAATCCAGAGAATCAAAACAGTGGTCCATAAGACACACCACGGTCTCTTAAAGCCAAAAATAAAGGGGGGGGGAAGGAAACAGCACATCTTGGACCAATGTCAGAAAGCATGGAATGAACACAATATAGCTATCTATTAATTTATTATTGCATCTTGGCATCCTTGCTTTTGATTTCCAACTTTTTCCAAGGCTGCTTTCAATGAAAAACAACAGCAAAGAAATTTGGGCACAATATACTATTATAATTTTTTTGTCAATAACTCAGCAGTATAAAATCCAAGCAAAATATCACTGTTACTATAATTCCAGCTGCAACAATAAAAATCAGCACCATTGTTCATGAAGCCCATGCAAAGATATGGGTATGAACTTGGTGCAATTACCTTATTTGGCTTTTGATCACTTTTCAAAGTTTGTGAGGTGGTGATGGTTCTGAGAATTTGGTGGGGAGATAGTATCCAAGTGAGATGTGAAAAAGAGGGCCGCAATTCCATCGGTAATGAGCTTTCAAAATGACTATGGTATTATTAACACCAATTGTTCATTGTGTAAAACTCTGATCATCCCTCTCTTCCCTTTCTCTAAAACATAGCATTGTCCTTCCTCTTTAATAGATACCTAGAGAAAAGTATTCCCAATCATAAGCAGAAGACTTCTCCATCACGTGCAGGACATAGGGTCCTGTAAATGTTTCAACCCCTACACCTTTAAATACCAGCAGATTCATATGGTGTTTGATCATAGCAACAATAGCCATCATGATCTTGCTATCCAAGAACATTGTGGATCTCAACTCTGTGGCTGAAATCCGGTTGCTTGACGTAGTAAGTCACAACTAGAGTAGGCCACTGAATCAATGGAACACAGAGTTGCCTCACCAAATCCCCACTGATTCAGTGGGCCTACTCTAATTACAACTTACTACACTCAGCAACAGGTTTCAGTCTTTGCACGTGGTCCATCAGCTTTGTCTGGGCAGCTCTTCTGCTTAGCTGAACATGGGGCTCAGCACCACGGCCTGTTCCTGCTGCCATCCAGCCTCTTAAGCTTAACGGGAAGGCAACCTGCAGGTGACTAGGAAGCAGTGGATACGAGAACCTAGTCAAGCCTACTCTGAGTAAGAAGGCATTTTGCTCATGGCCCCTCCAGCCTAGGGCTTGTCCTAAATATAAGGACATGACATTGTAGTAGAACAGGAAGAAAGTCAACAGAGGCGCCATCATTTCCAGCCAGTATATTTGCCATTTATTATAAATGACCGTTTCTGGGAGAGAAGGAACTTTTCACCACTCAAAGCGAAACACTACAGACAGTAAACAAATCTTCCTCTCCTGATTACATCAAGAGGCACTCCACAGTAAACACTATTAATTTTCAGTCTAGGTGAAATCACAAACCAATAAATGATGATATTCAATTCCACTGATTAATAAACAAAAGGAGGCTATCTATGTTTTACAGTGCAGTCTGTAAGAATGACAGCATCAATACTCATTTGGGGAAACAAGCATTCATTTGATGCAAGCCTCTTCTCTCTTGTTAATTAATTACTGTATTCCTACAAGTTTTCTGATAAGAAACTCTTGCTTATTTCCAAAATAAGATACCATGTAAAACACAAACCTGCATTTTCCATGGAAAAACTAGGCTACCTCTAGCCTCAAATCCTTGCTTATCTTTTAAAACCTAGGGTACACCTCATCAAATAACTTTCTGTCAACCAACAATAAAGTGACCCTTCACTTATTCTTCTTATAAAATAAGAATATATTTTGCCAATGTTTGTGGTTATTGCAAATTTGTAGTGAACATGTCCAGGCAACATATTACATGTAACGTGTGTTTACGTTTAAAATGCCTGAAGTTTGCTACCCCAATTATTATGAAGTAGCTGTTTTGAAAGATCAGGATTAAAATAATAGTATGCAAGGGAGTGAGTTTGTCACACTACAGTCCTGGTAAAGATCCTAACAGCACATCTCATGTTGGTACCTGATGCAGAAGGAAAAGAGCTACAGGAATTTAAAAAAGGTTCTATGACACACTAAATAGCAGTCAAGGATGCTGGGCTGGTCGGAAAAGAATAAACACTGTCCGAGTTTCCCCCCACCTCAATTCCATCCTCGGTCATGAAGTGCTTAATAACCCCCCCCCCAAAAAAAGCACAAGCTAAAGGCGATTTTAGTCTGTTACCTGAAACTCAGTGATTCTTTCACAGAAAAACAGCACTTTCACTGGGAATCGATAGTGCATGAGAACAAACATGGTCTTGGAAAAAGCTTATGAATGTGTTCAGACACCTCATCTAATTAACTGTATTAGGACCATTAACCACATGCTCACGCACAACTAAGATAGAGACAGACAGACAGACAGACAAGGAAGAAACATACCGTAATTCTACATTTTTCTGAATCCTTTGCAAACAGATAATAAATGTATGGAGATTCCCATCCTGAGCATATTTATAGAGTTTATCATAAATACTTTAGGGTAAAATTCTTTCAATGATTAATGGCTATTTTTGATGCTGATAACCATTCTATGCATCAATGTCAAAGCTCTGAGGTGGGAAAAGTCACTTTTTTGGCTAAAGTATTCTGAGTGTGGTAATAAAGCTGTAAATATGTCATGCAATGGGCATACGTCTGTCCTAACTCTAGCCGAAACATTCTTAAAATAAGACTAGAATTATGTTATAAATACCTTCAGTAGCTCAGCACAGCCTTTCTATAGTAACGGATAAAATCAGTTACTTACCATCTGTCTGAGATTTACTGAGGAATATTGTGCTGGCCCGTGGATGATCAGAAGGATTGAACTCCATGTTCAGATCTACAAAGAGATGGAGGAAAATGACGTTAAGAGTGGTCTGTTTGGCATATTTCTCACTGCATAAGAAGCTACGCATTAAACTCTATTAACCATTTAATTGTACAGCCTTGTGAGTATAAATTACAACCTCTCTACTCCGACGATTTCTGTTTCTTTTTAAGCAAGAGTCTGTTCAGCTGCAATTTTTAAGTGGGCTTTTGGTGCAGTAATCAGTTGTGCCTCTATATATATACACAACAGCACAATGTGCAAATTCCTGACATGTGGACCTCAGCTACTGTTAGATGCAGCAACAGGGAGCAAAATCCACTATAAAACAAAGAGTGCTGTCCTTTGATGGAGGAATCCTGGATTCAGAACTGAACTCCTCCACAAAGCTCATTGGATAAGCTGGTGAGAGAGTCACTTTCCCAGCCTAATCCATAAGGCAGGGTTGTGACATTTAGAAAAGTAGAAGTGACAGCACATTCACCGCCCTTAGATTAAAGAAAGAATACACATGTACTGTTAACAGGCTTGTAAATAGCTCACTTTCTGACAAATTGTGGTGAGTAAAAGCTGCTTCTAAAGGTCTGAGAACCCTCTACAAAAGCCACATTTTAATATTTTTAGCATAAAGGATTAAAACAGGGCCCTTTTAGACAAACTGGTTTATAGACTAGCAAATTTTAAATAGCCTTCTTTGCAAAGAACTAACAATGCTATATGGATTGAGATGACCGTCAAAGAAACAAGCGAAATAAGACCAAGAAATCATAAAACACATCAAACAACAGACGACAGGATCCTTCAGTCACACAGAAACAAGTACAGATTGTGACAGCTTATCATGCTATCTGCAGAGAATGGGAAAGAAGTATGTAATGGGAAGAGGAGAATTCCTTGGCTGGAAAACCCAGGGAACCAGTTTGAATGCATCACAATGGCACTGTCTACAAAAGCTACATCCAAAGTCTGAATAGCTAAGATGCTGTCTGACCTCCAACAGAAAAAGATTTCTGCTACTAACATGATAACAGAGACTGGTGAAAAAAGTCCAGAGAGCAGAAACAAAAGAGCCCATTTCTCCTGATTCTACTGTATTTCCACCCTGCCACTTCACATCTCTGCTCTACAGCCAGCTTCTGGATCCTCTTTGTTGTTGTTTTTGTTGTTGTTTAGTCGTTAAGTTATGTCCGACTCTTCGTGACCCCATGCACCAGAGCACGCCAGGCCCTCCTGTCTTCCCCTACCTCCCCGAGTTGGGTCAAATTCATGTTGGTTGCGTCGATGACACTGTCCAACCATCTCATCCTCTGCCATCCGCTTCTCCTCCTGCCTTCACACTTTCCTAACATCAGGGTTTTTTCCAAGGAGTCTTCTCTTCTCATGAGATGGCCAAAGTATTGGAGCCTCAGCTTCAGGATCTGCCCTTCCAGTGAGCACTCAGGTTTGATTTCCTTTAGAATTGATAGCTTTGTTCTCCTTGCAGTCCAGGGGACTCTCAAGAGCCTCCTCCAGCACCACAATTCAAAAGCATCAATTCTTCGGCGGTCAGCTTTCTTTATGGTCCAGCTCTCGCTTCCATACATCACTACAGGAAAAACCATAGCTTTGACTATTCGGACCTTTGTCGGCAAGGTGATGTCTCTGCTTTTTAAGATGTTGTCTAGGTTTGTCATCGCTTTCCTCCAAAGAAGCAGGCGTCTTTTAATTTCGTGGCTGCTGTCACCATCTGCAGTGATCAGGGAGCCCAAGAAAGTAAAACATCCCCCCATCAGCCTGGAGCGCTCAGAACCACTGGGCTGATTCACTGCAGATGCTTTCCTCCAGCCATACAGCCAGCCAGAGAGGAGAAGCCACAGTAAGCTATCTTTTGAGCTGGTGGTTGGTTCAATAGTGGAAGAACATTCCTGAGCTGACTCCTTACAACATTTGTCTGGAAGATGGGGGTGGTTGGTTCAATAGTGGAAGAACATTCCTCAGCCCTGCACTTTGTCCTTCCCTCAAGCTTCAAAAGGTTCCTGGGACAGGAGGAAAACAAATACGACACAGAGAAATTTGGCCTCAGGGGATCGCTTCTCCTGAGAGCACAGTTCTCTCCTGATTTGGCCCCAGGCAGACGTTGCCTATGTCTAGCCTTGAGACTATCTGAAGGTCTCTCACATGAGAAACGGAGCAAGTTCTACAAAAGACCCCAAACTAATGGATTCAAATTACTGGAAGAAAGATTTCAGTTAACAGAAGAATAAATGACTCTGACAATAGAATGGATCCTCCGGAAGGTGAGGGGATATTGTTCAGTATTTGTCAGAAGTGGTCATCTGTCAGGGATATTTTGGCTGTCGGATTAATAAGCTTGTTTCCCTATGATTCTCAGGCCACATCTGAGAAGACAGGTAGCTCATCTCAAAACACAAGAACTTTTCTGCAAACCACAGCATCTAAACAGAGGATCTCACGCATGCCTCAGCTTGGGAAAGTGGGATGTCTGGGGTACAGGACTCAAGTCCCCATTCTGACTATGGAATATTGGGAAAACCAGTCAAAAAAAGAAAACAAAAACAAAAAACCCAACACCCCCAAACCTAACTATCTCAAGTTCCACTCCTGCTCACTGCCTCCTCACACTCACCTTTGACAAACCAAATTCACTAATGGGAAGAAATAGTATTATTTGTTTATAATATTATTTGGATGCTATTGCAAGATTTGTCTGTGTGTGTTTGGAGGCAGAAGTAAGAGAAAAATTCTCTTATTTCCATTTCGTAACTAAAAGCAATGGTCAAATCCCCCAAAGTAAGGCAGACTCTATTGAGCTAAAATAGAAGGAAAAGCTTCTTTGGGTCTGTATGCGTGAAGCTCATAATTGCACATTTTTATTAGCATCTCCTTCCTACCTCCACAATATTGCTAGGAGCAGGAACAAAGTCTGCTGTACAGCAGCATGCAAGAGTCAAAATACTGTAACTAATTATGTGGCACTGTGTGGTTATTAGCTGAGCAGTGATTATTGAATGAGATTGCTAAGACGGGTAACTCCATTTGCGTTTCAAAACAGGCCGAGACGCTTCTTAGCATCTGTGGCAAGGCACGATTTTATCTTTCAAGCCACAGGAAAGGAAACAAGCCAGTATATTTCTACTTGAAAACTGCACATGTATAAGGAGGAGAGGAGAGGATTTACTTAATAATCATTCTCCAAGGGCTTCTGTAGCTACCTTTTTATAGCCTACTACTGTGGTTCATTGCAGCTGACTGCAAGAACCATCTACTGTACTTCTACTGAGATCAACAAAGATGACAAAACATATTGCCTGATTCTCTCTGTCGATGCTGACACAGAATCCAAGCCTCTCAGTTTTCCTTAGGCCCTTCCTCCCTGACCAACAATTTTTTTTTTTTAGGTCTCTCCCCCAGGATAATGTTATGTTGCAAAAGATGAAGTTCCCCATCTCTGGGCCAAGGTTTATGTGAGAAAGTGACCTCAAATGTGTGGCTTACTAGGGAGAAACAAAATGTTATGATGCCATGTGATGGGTGCAGGGGTTAGCCCGGCCAGCTTTTTAGCTTTTCACAGCAGTTTTACTTATAGAAATAGGTTTTTTTCAACACAGAGATGAGGACTGTCAACCACCCATGACTGCCCATCATGCTATCATTAAAAAGTACCACAGCAGAAACAAATAAAAAGTTGGCCTGCCTGCCATCATGCTGTAAACAAGAAATGGAAGTCCTTTTATGAGTTTCACATGAGTTAAGCACACAAATAAACTTGCCAGGTCTTACGTCTTGTGCTTGAATCCAAAACAGGAAGTGTTTGTCTTGTTCAGGAAAAAGTTGACATGAGCATATGCATATTTAAAATTTAAGGACATATATAGCCAGGCAAAGCTTCCAAGGAAATCCAGGTGACTAAAGCAAACAGCAGCCAATCCGCAGGACATATTTGGTACCTCCCCTCCTGCCAGCTCCCCAAATGGAGAAATTTCCTCTAGAGATGACACATTCCTATTAACTAAGTTTGTTATGTACAGCTCTGAGTTTGCCAAATTATTCACTTGACCCAAGGTTGAAAAACAGAGATAAGAAAAATAATGATAGAAGGAAGGGCAAGGAAAGGAAAAGGGGGAAGGTTTGTTGGCATCGTTTTAAAGAGAAATTCCTTAGACTCATTAGTGAACAGGAAGGAGACCATCACAAAATGGATGAAGACCAGGTATCCTAGCAACCAGCTGCTTCATAGCTTTCCTGGTCTGATGCCGGAAACAGGAGCGTTTGTATTGCCTGGTTTTACTTTAAAATGTTATTTTATTTGAAAATGTCACAGAAATGAGCTTCAGAAAGGGATGAGGATACATACACTCACTTCTGAAGCAAAGTTAAGCACTTATGTTCTTATACTTCTTTTGAGCCACATTCAGCTTTCTCTAGGTTCCTGCATCAAATGCAGTATTTTGAAAAGGGAAATTAGAAATTCCTTTTCAAATTTCAGCGGTGGGGAGCAGGAGTTCCTGCCAGGCTCAGAAGCCTGTTCCTGGACATTGTCTCAAGCAGCCACCACCATGTACACAAAAAATATTTAAATGTATCTTATTAGCAAATAGTTTAATTGTTTTCCACCTCTAACTTATGTTTTTAATTCCACTCCTTTTAATATTGTGAACCACCTTATGTTCCCTTACCAGGAGAAAGGCGGGATATAAAATAAACAAACAAACAAAAATACAGTGGTGCCTCGCATAGCGATGTTAATTCATTCCAAAAAAAACATTGCTATGTGAAACCATCACTATGCGAAACACCATTTCCCATAGGAATGCATTGGAAACCGGTTAATCCGTTCCAATTGGAATGGATTGCCGTTGTTAAGCGAAAAAACCCATAGGAAACATCGCTAAGCGAAACAATGTTTCCTCCATTGGAATGTATTGAAGCTGACTCAATACATTTCAATGGCTTTGCGAAGTCAATTTTTGCAAAATTAAGTGTGTCATAAAAGGGTCAAAAATGGTTTTAAA